TAATGTATATTGTGAAAGCGCTGCCTTCTTAATGCTTCATTGACGATCAATTCGTGCCTTCGATTTATTGCCAACCGCTCTTAAAAGGCTATTGTTGCTGATTCCAATGAAATTATAGTACTATATTGGGTTTCAGCTGAAATGTAATCTCTTCGGATGTATTTCGCAATTGTATTGTCGATAGTAATGATCCACATTCGAAATCGTATCTTAACAATGAATTGAATGATACTTTCTTTCTCAATCGAATCGGTTAATTATTCTCTTAAAATATACATTTATTTGTCTACATTTCAAACATCAAATATTTAGAATTTATCAATCGTATATTACTGCAAACATACATATAAAGAATGATCGGAAAGAGAATCGTGGTAAAATTCTCTGGAGTATTTCCTACGCTCTCTACCACTTCCCGCCGTTTACCCGTGGGGACTTAAGTCTCCCACTAACGCGTAAATAGACTTATATTGCAATAGGGAGATATGGCCCGTCAACCTATTAATAATGTAGTGCGGGTTATAAGGTAAATGAATAAATGGGTTGTTTTTGGACGTGTTGTTAATTAATTAATATCTTTGATAAATAATAAGAAATGGAGAGGTGGATTTTATAACTCAAATTCAGGTATGAATATACAAATGTGAGACACAGATGGGTGGAGTCGGTAATACGTCCTTTTAGTTCCTAATATCATTTAGTTTTAATCTATTCATGTGTTTTGCTTCAGATAATTAACAATTTATTGATTTAAAGCGTCTATTACTTTTATATACTGCAAAGTATCTATCGTTTACTTTTAAATGTATGCTATATCTTAAACGAAGTGTTCACATTGCTCCACTAATTCCTGATCTATCGTGATCGCAACCTAATTAATGACAGCTCAGTGCCAATGCAGATACTGTGAATTGCAGGATTTTAGCGAAATTGGTAGTCTATATCAAGCGGACGCAGTACTTGTCTTTCAAATGGTCATTCCGTTTGCACATTTAGCTTGATGGCTTTGAATACTCCAGCTGTCGGCTTAATAGCTAAGTCCTTAATCAGTGGGAAATAGAACTTGTAGTTTGTAGTCAAGCAAGCCTTATATAATAGGACAAAGATAAAAAGAATTGTTTAGGAATGAAAAATATTGTGTATTTTTAGTAAGGATTTTTTTTGTAAATTTGATGCCTGTAATGATTATTAAATGCGCGTACTACTTTTATAAACAATTCACTTGTGTCTTCACTTATTCAAAAATAAGACGGAAAGCATCTGATAACCGAAAGCTCCCAAGAGCTTTTAAAATACTTTATATTATGCATCGCACCGCACATGGAATGCATTCTCAGCCCCATCCCACGAGGGACTCTATAATCGAAACTCACCACACCCAGCTACTAAAACTTTAGGTTTACTTTTAAGTATAGTCATAATCGATTATCAATCTCAGTTGAAGTGTTCCTACAGGCGGCTCATCATTCAAGATTCAATATACTAAGTAAAGCTTCCAAGGGATCAGCCATAACAACTATTCGATATCAGTAAAGTGCTACTAAAATATTAAAAACATTTTTTCACTTGCTTTATCGCCCATTAGTTTCGCTTCGCGTGATCCAAGTGAAATGTTTTTCAATAAATTTGTCGTAAAAACAGCTAGAAGTTTTGTATGAAAATAAAAATGCGATTTGTTCGAAATATGTAATGCTGTTAGACCGGTTTCCGGGTTGATACATCCAACGTGTTCCCGCCTCTCCCAAGGGACTCGCCACGTGCTGCCACTTAACGCCCGCTGAATATTTACAAATATACAAGATTCCGCAAACAATCTTAAGTATTCAGTCGTAAGGTGGAGATTGCATTATTTTATCGACCGCACGAACCACAAGTGAAGTGTTTAAGAAGCTTTATAATACCTGAAAAATGTATCATGATTATCATTACCCTCCACTTTCAACGTAACGAATACTTACAGATAATAGCTTATTTTAAATTAAAATTCAATGTGGGTTCGTTAATCCGAAATGTAATTCGAGCCTTGCTATTTTACGACTAATAAAACGGAACGGTTGTTGTAAAGGAATAAAAATTTAAAACACTATAACGTTTCTTGTCTAAAAGAAATTTTATGGGGTCTGACGAAAACGATCACCATTTATGATTCACGCAATAGGCTACTTTACACATCACGAACGGGAAATGAAAAATAGATAACACAAGGGCTATGCAAAGTTGGATGTGAAATTTTCACGGTATAGAGGCACGCACTGTGACAAATGTGTCCCGTAGGTGAGAGAGGAACCTTCTACGAATAGAACATTTTAAGACTGACTTCTGATAATGTACAGCAACACTGTATTCAATTTCCTAGAAGTACAATTAACGTAGGATTTTTCAAAGAAAGTTACTTCGTTAAGTTATTTATTTACGATATATTAAAAGGATCTATCACGTTCACGACTGATAGAGACTAAAGTACCGATTTAAGTACTTACTTATTCTAATATTATATGTACCCAGTACTGGAAATGTGATACAGGATGTCTTATTTTACAAACAGCTACGAAATTGAAAAATAATTTGTTGATGGAAAATGCTATTATAGACAAATAAAACATTAGCAGAGAATTTAATTACAAAAAAGACAATGGGCAGTTTTTGAAAAAGGACCTCGTTAATTATTATTTTTTTAACCGAGAACGGTCGTAAATAAAAGTAAAGGGTGCCATTAAACGCATTATTCGCGCATATTTAATGTACTGAAAAGGCTAAAAGGTTTTTTATTTTTCACAGATTCAACAGCTTTGCATTAATATCGCCCATTAAATTAAGACCCCATTCAACACGTGATTTATAAAAATAAATTGAAATCCGCTTAGAAGGATGAATAATTAACAGATATATCGCGAAAGTAAATTCGCCTTTTCTTTGTTATAGTGATATTTATCATTGCTTAGATTAATTAAATATACTCAGCCATTCAGAAAACAAATTTCAACCTAAAATATAGGCATACTAATATTTTATTTGGGAGTTTAAATCAAAGTTCATATGAATTCTTTAGTACTATATTTACTTTTGCTTACAAAAGTATTTTTAATAGTTTCTAAGTATTCATTTAACATGTTGCAGATATTGTGTATATTTTTGTGGGATTAAAATATCAATGAAAACCATAATGAGCTGATGCAATATTTATTAGCTTTTTCGATTCATTCGGACAGAAATCAGTGAGCTGCGAAGAAGCGAGACTGTGTCGTGGCTGGATCGACGCCACATCGAAAAATAGATAATAAAATGTATTGAAATGGCTGCGGGCCGGCTTATCCGGTTGAAAGTCAATGAATATTTGATTTCAATTTTTTTCCCGACGTCGCCGTGAAGTATTCACGCCATACCTAATTTGATTTTCGCCATTCCGGCCGTTCGCTGGGGCAGTTTGCATTCATATTCAGCCTGAATACGCTTTCGGGTTGCCTTTAGGCCGAGACTGATACAAATAAACAGGGGATATTTTTACATTTGTTGCGCCGAATACCCGACCCGACTGATTATGTTTCGGAATAATAACACACTAGCGGTTATTAGGTGCGGTTTATGGCACTACATATTTTTATTTATAGATGAATTGATATCATAAACTAAAAGGGGAGACGCATTATGGCATGACAATTTTCAATTTCGAAATGCGGTCATTAAGGGCAACTTTGGGCGTGACCCTATAATACTGGCATGGCATTAAAGAATACTATAATATTGTCAATATGCATATATAAGATGGACAGTTGTTGAAAGTGCAACGTAGGGACTCATTTTTTTTTTAAATTTGAAACATTCTATATTCGTGTCTAACAAAAAACTGATAGTTTTAAAATAAACATTATTTAAAAAGAGTTTTTATTTTACTTTAAAATAAAAGGGTGAATTACTTTTTCAACCTAGCAGTAAGATCTAAAATAATTCGTCTAGCCGAAGTATTCAGGTCAACTTGATTTTGTCTAATGAGTATTTCAAAAGTAAATTCAGCATTGTATTTCTGTGTCTGTTTGAGGGAACCTTCGTTTGCAACAAAAGATGGCCGTCCTTGATACGATTTCCGTGGGTTTTAATTAAAATCTTACGCGTTGTGAGGATAATGAGAGCAACTGATTATCCAGGCCGGGGGACTGTAGTATTTTGGGGTACAATTTATTTGCCGCCATTTTTCAAAATGATAACGTTACTCTTGTATACATTTTACCGAAATAATAAGGACCTTTACGTTAAATTTTGCGAGTTATTTCATACAACAATCTGTTTCGTAAATCGTATTTGTAAATTACATTTCTTTTAGTTGTTTAAATTCTAAGAACAGAGTTCTCACATTTGTTTCTACACGACAGGGAGCGGTATCGGGAAATCTCCATGACGAAAACATGTATTTTATTTGCGCATCGATTTGTTATTTATTAGTAGGGCATAGTCGTAATACGAGGGAGGGAGTACAATACCGAAAACGGTGAACCTATTTAGTGACGACGCTCCCCGAACCCGACGATTCGCTTCGATACGCCTCAGCCGTAACACCCTCCATTCTCACTAGAACCGCATTGACTTTCCTGCTTCTAGCTTTGGTTAGTGATAAAAAGTATTGCTCTGTAATCCAGAGGGGTCTCTGTTCGTTGGTAAATGTTTATAGAAGGTCAGTGGCTGTATTTATCCGTTGCTAGTTAACCAGTATCGACTTTGCGGCGAAGACGACCAACAAAATGAGGCGAGACGCTTACAAAAGTAATATTATTATTTTCCCATGTGACACGCAAGGGACTGAGAGATTTCTTTGTTTTTGTTTATGATAAATATACACTTATTTATGTGCTTACTGTGATATTTTTTATTGTTGTTTATACAAAAAGAGATGAAATGATTTCAAAAGGAAATACAAGTTAGTAAATTTATTTTGAATGTTGGTGAGATTGCCATCTTTTCTAACTTTATTAAAGATGTGAAAATGAAATGTTTGAATCGCCACTTACCTCTGTGCCTGTTGGTTTGTTTGTCGAACATTAACATGGCGTCCTCGATCTGTAACAAGAGAAAATAATACTATAAACTTTAAATCCTGTAAAGATCGTGAGGGAAAAATGCGAATAAAAAACAAGGGCGTCGTGCGCGATTTCGGCCCCGCCCTGGCAATAAAACACTCGGGCGCTGTAATAACGAATAAGCACCGGTACAGAGTAAACCACACGCTGCAAATAAACTTTGATAAGCGAGGGCGAGCAGGTAATAACGTATTCATAGAGAAATAAATGGAAAGTCGGCGGCTAGGACGCGAACAATACACGCGAGCGGAGATACGCTGTCACCTGGCGCACACCTAAATTCGGTCACCAAGGTACGCTTATAAAATTCACCGTTCACGAGTAAAACACTAATAAATCCCGAACACTTTGAAATAACAGTTTAATATTGAGAACGTCGTAAACGCGTCACACATTCACGAGTTGTAATTACAAATTCTATGCTTTATTAAATTTTCATATGTCATACGACACGTGTCAAATACGAAAGGTATATAGGATGGGAGCGGATTTGAAATGCGGCGTAAAAAATGTTCGTTTGTATAAAGCAAGTTCTGCGTGACAGGCGAGGGCGGAGGGAGGGTGGGTTTTGTCTCGCTGCAGAGTCTGCCGGGCGCTCCCCGGGGCGACATTACGAGGGAAGGTCGACGGAACGCACTCCCGATGATCGATGTCGAATACCCGTAACAGGTGACCTTTCGTTGAATTATTCTTACCTGTAGAAACGTTTGTTTAGTAGTGATTTGTTTGAGTGGGAATTGCTAGACCGTCGTACGGACAGGCGCGAAAAGGCCTCCAGAGGCACGATGTTTTTAAGAACGCGTTCGCTTTTTGTTTCCAAACTTTCGTGTTTATTGTTGTTTATTTGCCACTTTGATAAAAGATGCAAAACACGTTTATAATCGTCCATATTCGGTCAACAACGGACAAGTTGTCCGTCCAATCCGTTTTATAAATAAAAAAACACTCCTTTTAAATTACCCGGCAATTTCACAATTACATCATGAAATATTAGCGGAATACAAGACTTGCAATCCGTGTGCTCTATTACTGAGTTGTTATTTGAATCTAACAACCGATATTAAAACGATGCTACTGTCAGTGGCGCCATCTGGTGGTTCCCAGCAGCGCTATGTGACGAAAATAGAAAGTTGACATGCGAGCAAAAGACAGTCGATACCGACTTGGCGGCTTTGTAGGCACTCTGATATAAGTGTCATATCGAGTAACTCAGTAGCGAATAAACAAAGTATTCTGTTAACAGTAAAAACAATCGAATATCTAATATTTAGGAGGCGTAGGTGTCTAGTGAACTTACTAGTTCAGCGTCAGTAATATTCACAAAAATATAAAGAAATTACGTTTTTATATAAGACACTGACATTTACCCTTCCAACTTATATAGAGACATTGGTCTTATTCTTTTTATGTAGTTGAATTTTATTTCTGTATACTGTTGTGGTTGAAATAGTTTATGAGACTGCGTGGGTTATGCGGAGGGATACAATGTCTGCTTAGTTTCATTTTAGATTTAACATTAACTAGTTAATAACATTGTGGTAAACTTGTACTTTATCCTTACTCTAGTCCGTCTTTTGTACATATTAAATGGGACGAGCCTTGATATTAATAGTTCTCTTCTACGTGTAAAGCTAAGTGCTACATTGTATGATATTTGACCGTGTGGTTTTTATTCGTATGGTGTAGCACTATGCTACGAAAGCTTCGCTACATTAGAGCGTCGTAGTACGAAGCTACGAAAATCGCTCAAAAATGCAAGGCAATTTCAAATATTAACATTTTCGTTTTTTATTGAACTTGATATTGCAGTTTATCAATAAGAAAGTGCAGCGCAAATGTGCAGCGCGTTGCTAAGGTATAAAATCTAACTTTGCAGCGGCCACTACAGTCACGTAACCTCAAGTGGCCCCTAACAAGTTGTGCCTTAATAAGAACATTTATGAACTCGTCGTGTCGTGACCAGTCTAATTCGCCTTTTAATATTCGGGCAATGTGTGGCGTGGTGCCCGCGTGGAATTTCCTACAACTTTACTAATTCCACTCTTTGCTCAAATATTTTTCATCGCGGCCCGGGTGAGTGAGCGAAATTGGAGACAATGTACAATGTAGACGCCCGGAATTTTTATAGCCTCGACCGACCATGGCAGCGGATAAAACAAGTTTTTACTGATTCTTTACAGCTTTCCTTTACGTTTTGTCATCATTGACGTTCTACAATTTCGTTAGAAAATTTCTTTCACTAAACTTTTTTTTTATAAAAATACCATAAAAAGTTGTCGAATTTCAGAAATGTTAAGTTACTCCTAAGTCTCGTTGAAACATATTGAAATAATAAAGTTAATTATATTTTCAATGAATAAAATTGATAAATACAATTAATTGTGGTTCTTATTTATAACTACTCAGTTCTATTCAAAATATCAATCTATTTTTAAAATCTCCACATCACTAGAGGCACGTAATTTATCTGTAATGTCGTCAAGATTCTTCTAAAACAGTCGACTTTATTATTAAGTATTTTATTTAAGAGGGAGACTGTGTCGGCCCCCGGAGATACCTGTCGCATTAATTTGGTCGTCGTAGGTACGAGCTCGTTTAAGAAAATCTATTTTTTATCTTTCTTAAGCAGCTGTTTATGAGATTTATTCTGATTTCTCTTGTTTTAAGCTCTAAACGGTAGTCAAACAATGTCTTAATTTAAACGTTTTATTATATTTTACTTTATAACTTTTCTTTAAGCAGTTATGTTTTCCTAGATGTAAACTGTTGAACAATATGATTTTTGTATTACGGTTCGAATAGTAACCATAATTGTGTTTAGATAACACTTAATAGTGGTTCAAATTGAGAAATTTAATAATCAGTTAATTATTGCTATTGAGAAAAATAATTTAATAGTAAGACTTTTCTCTACTGTTAATTGTTGCTACAATTTCAACAGTAAATAATTACGCGTCTAATGGTAACAATCAGTCATTCTGCCAAATTAGAGCCGTCAGCATCGAAGAGGAATTCACGAACTATGCAATTGTTTTCCTGACTCTGGTAACTAACGGTTACTTAGCAGTTCCCAAACTATTCATTGTCCGGTCGTAACGGTCAGCATTGTGTCCATCAAAATACCAGCAATCCTTCTTGAACACTAACAATATTGCCAGCGATCTGTGCACTACGTCAAACTGTAATTGCTTAAAGAGTAACTGTCACATTTCTAGTTGTTAAATGGTTGCTAAGAAAGCTTTCTTAGTGGATGTTTGTATGAGAAATTTACACTGAGCGACTTCTTAAGTAAAAAATTTTAGAACTCTGAGTGCAAGACAAATTGGCATCTTAAAACGACAAAAAATATTGCATATAAGGTTGGTGTTAAATAAATTGTAAACATGTTGTTATAATGATTAAAACCAATGTGATTACCTGTCTATATTTTGCTTGTTTCTTGTCTACCTTTTTAATGCTTGTAGCGAAGAATATTGAACGCATAATATGTAGTTATACAAAGTCTTAAGAACAGGTGGTTGACAATTATTGAGAGAATTTCTCTCGGTATTCTCCAGACAGAGATAAAACGAAGGTGTTCGAGAGTGGTTTACAAATAGATTAAGTTTGTACAAACTTTGGGCAACTGGATTGTTTTAGTGAATTTAAATTACACAGTTTTAATGGGCATTAAAATTACTAAAATATTAATTTGATTTTAACTTGATTCTTAATTGAATTTTTGCTTACTTTTAGTTTAGTTAGGTAACTTATAAAACATAATACTTTTCTTCACACCATTGAAGTTTTCTTTGATTAGTTATAATTAAGACACAGAAAAACAAAAAACATTAAATTAACTCCCCGCTCCGAGTTAAAGAATTTCAATATACTTAAAAATAATGAACTTTTTAACAAAAAAATACCCTCGAACCCAATTAGAACCTCCTACATTTGGCAAGTCGGTTGAAACTGGGAGAAAACTCAATAAAAACGAATCAGAATAAGGAAGCTCTTCGGGAAATAGCATAAAGAAAAAGTTTTAATTTGTTTAAATATTTCCGCGGGTCGGAGTTCCCGGAGCGGCTCTCAAGTTCCGTGGCCGGGCATTAACTCGCCCGCGGCGCCGCCGGCCGCGGCTAATGAGACAAGCCACCTGCTCTTACAGGCGACATAACAATTAACTCGGAGAAGAAAATATAAGGTAAGCTAATAGAGACGCTCAGATACACTTCACCCCGTGCCCTTCATAAATAACACCCCTTTGGAGGCCAGAATCCTCTGCAATTTTGTCGTATTTACGTAATGATTCTCCGAGGACAAAACTCTCAGGAAAGGATAGCGACATTTTATCCTTTTGTTTTTATAGGCGAATTGATTGGGAGTAGTACGGAATAATCCCGAGATAGGATTAGTTTTCTTTGAAGGCCAGCAAAGAAAGGAATCTAATGAAAATAATATAAAAAATAACTCAATATTCTTATTGTGGAATTAAATTTTACCAAACTAGAAATTAAATAGATGGAAACGCCAAGTTAAAGTTTTGAAATATCCTAACCACGTCCTGTTTTAATTGAAAAGCGTATTTAATAAAGCACCCTCTATTTAACAATTAACGAGACCAGTAATACAATTATGTTTCTAAATAGTACTAAAATAATCGCCGTAGGCATGTCGGTACGGTTGCCGAGATCACACTAAACTATTAACTGTTTTGTAATTGTACATAGTAAATAAATAGTAACATGATAAAAAATTAGAACAAAAATCTGAACATTTAACAGCTTAGGAAAAGCACAACATTTATTTTTATGATATCGATAAATGATAATAATAGCTTATAAAATAGACGTGACAGTGTCAACAAACTCATCTATCTACTTCATAGCAGAAAATGTTAAAAAAATGGACGAAGACAAATATATCTGTAATATTATTTGCTACTTTAGCGTACGCAGAATATGGAGAAAATAAAATCTTGAAAACAATTACGAATGTCTC